AACGAACAAGCAACAGTTTATTGCGTCTCTTGATGCACGGAAGGTTCTTTATTTTGTGCGGCTAGATAGATTACTAGTGAATAATTGTAGGCAGTTTGTCCGACGTCATCGGTATCATTTTGAGAATGTCCTTTTGCAATGTATGTATTCTTGTGCATTAACCTTAAAGGACCCCTGCCAGCCAAAGTTTTGTTTGAGAGCTTTTTTTACAGTAATTTGTAGCTTTGCATCTGGCAATGCCAAAATTATATCGTGCTAGCCGTGTTAATTCCGAACAATTTTGCGTCAGTTCAAAACGACCACGTAAATACCATAAGAAACTAACGCCCCACAGTGGACCAGCGCCTAGAACTACGTGTGCTCAAGCTTCGGCGAGGGTGAAACACGCTGTTTTCAAGTAGGGGGACCCGCGGGCGATGAAGAATAATACGATGTGGGGGCTTTGAGCATGTGCCCCTCAGAAAAAAGAGCATTCCTGGCGTAAGCAGACTAAACCACCTCGAGAGCAGCCCGACAACAGAGCAAAAGGGGTGATGAACAATAGTTTTCGTCGGGTGCGAATCGTGATATTGTGAGCGCCCCTCAAATGTGCTTGACCTCTGCAACGTCACAAGGGGATCCCCTAGCTACATCAAACCACAGAAGATGTCGACTGTACCTGAATACTTGGAGAAGCACGCAGCCTATACTTTAAAACTAAATTAAATTAACTTCTAGGCATAGGCAACGCTCGCCACTGATAATCGGTCAGAGGCGGCCCCGCAGTGCAGGACTATCAAACAACACAAACATTTCAAGGTTTCCAAATTTGGAGTCAGGGGTCCTTTAATTTCGTGGTCAGTCGGGCGCTGCTGTTGATAATATTGCCGTTTTAGATGTTGTCCAACATCGAGCTTTCACTCTGCACATGAATTGTTATTTGACTCTAGTGTCCCTTTGAATGTCGTGTACAAAATATTTTTGACATACAGTTAAACCTCGTTATAACGAAATTGGAGGGCCGCCGCTATTTGCTCGTTATAACCAATATTTCGTTATAGCCGTAGCGGGCATTTACCGCAAATATTACGCACTACACTTACCCCAAAAAAATAGCGGGCCGCCTTCTGATCTAGCGTTATGCGCTTTCGCTTCCCACCTGGCGCATTCATGTTGCTGGAATCACGAGCGCAGCACGATAAAAGATAAGGCGGAAGCGGTCGAAGAAGAGAAGAAACACGCACGCAAAAGCAACGCGGCTCACGTCGGCGAGCGACAACACTTGCAGAGAAAGTGACTGTGAAGAGGAAGGGGCAGAAGGGGCGCTCTTTTGCGCTGCCCTTTAGGAACCGATTACTCAAGGGGAAGGGGGTATGTAAGATTAGGAAGCGCGCCTCAGCGCCATGAGAAAGCGGAGAGGGAGAATATAAAGACGACACAAAAGAAAAGGGCGAGACATTCGCGGAGCGCTCCGCTGTCGGTGGTAGCCAAGCGGCGCACATGCAGCGACCTCTCCTCCGGAAACAGCGCGTGCCGTCTGCTTTGCGCGCGTTGCTGGAGGGCGCGTGGCGGGAGTTTTGAACTGCTAGATACAGTTCTCGCGTTGCGCGCCGTCTCAAATTCGCGTTGTGCACTGTCGTGACATCGGCTCAAAATTTTACTTCCTAACAAAATTTGTTCGTTATATCCCATAACAGGCAAATTTTGCCTCGTTAAAACAAGGTTTTGAATACATTAGTTTGTATGGGGACTTTCAAGGGGAATTAGGATTTGCTCGTTATATCCATTATTTCGTTATAGCCCGTCTCGTTATAACAAGGTAGAAGTGTAGTAGATGCTACATATTTCAAGTGCCTTATATGTACTGCAGCTAGCAAGCTTTTGTATCAACAGTGTGCATTTTTCAGTCGTATGTGTTCTAGCGAAGGCAATGAGGTGACTAATGATTAAAGCAAGATGATGACTTATGGGGTTTAACGTCCCAAAACCACCATATGATTATGAGACGCCGTAATGGAGGGCTCTGGAAATTTCGACCACCTGGTGTTCTTTAACGTGCCCCAAATCTGAGCACATGAACCCGCAGCATTTTCGCCTTTATCGAAAATGCAGCTGCCGCAGCCTGGATTCAATCCCGCGGCCTGCGAGTCAGCAGCCGCGTACCTTAGCCACTACACCACCGCGGCGGGGCAATGGTTAAAGTAAATGCCTATAGATTTACCCATGCGGTACTGAGCAAACGGCATTGAATCTTAAAGAGATACTGAACAAAAATTGGAAAAAACGACGAAACTTTACAATTCTACTCGGATGATGTGACTGTTTTCATAAACAGAGTTCATTTCCCATACTTTTAAACAGTTAGCTGTATTTTTGATGGATTGTCAACGCACGGCGGCTGCAAGCAAGCGCGTGCCGTGACGTCACAATCACCGAGCGACATGCGGAACGCACGTTTTCCTGTCCTCTTCTTCCTTAAAAGCGCTGATGCTTAACTCCAGCTGAGAGCATTAATCGTTACCAGTGCTGTTCATTACGGTTCCGAGATAGAACCAGGGGGGGGGGGGATGAAAGAGACGCGGGCGACAGCTGACATTGTAGGCATGCCTGTTTTGGATGATTGCCACGTCACCAAACGCACCTCTCGTAGGTCACGGTACGGCTCCTCGAGCGACAGTTTGTGAAAAATGCATTAAGTTCATTATTTTTCTGTAGTTTGTACCTGGAATGAAGGCTGTGTCTACAATATCAGGACCCAATCTTTCAACTTGGTTGAATATCTTGGTGGTAAAAATTTTGTTCAGTTTCCTTTTAAGACATTAGGAAGTTAATGCCACTTTTTATGCCCGTGAGACAAGGTATTAGTGAACTTGTTCTAATCATGTGATAACGTCTCCATAGATTGACTGATCAACTGAAAGTAGACTTACAAGGGCCACGTGGTGAGTGGCACATGCCCTGGAAGTTCAGTGGAGGCATGTAAGCCCTGCGGGGTAGTTCCATGACTCGGTATGTGGCTAGCTCGCCCCTCTTCATGGCCAGTGCATTCAGCTCCACCGTGGGTGTCAAGGGCCCCTGAGCCCGCTGCGGGGCCCGTGACACCGGCCGCGTCAGAGATGTCTCGTCTAAGGCTCGTTGAGCAGCTGCATGCTGCGCCCTCTTGATGCTTGACCCAGTCGCCTGGTACTCCTCCTGGAGTGTAAGCACAGCCACAGGTCTACAGGCTAGCGGCGATGGCAGTGTGTAAATGTACACAAGATGCAAACTACCACCATTGACTCTACCTGCGTCCCTAGTAGCACACATTATTGGCACTACATTGAAGCAACATTCACAATGCTGCGTGAAAAGTTGGTGGCTAATAGGGTGCAATAGGGCAAACAAGGGAAGTCTCAGTCTAGCGATGTTCCAGGGGTGTATTTCTTTGCCTTGTTGAGATGTTGCCTTTGCAATGATTCTTCCCTTGCTTGACAGCCATTGATTTAACACCAATGTCAAACGGTCACTTATGATTACAATCGAGCCTGACCCGGAACAAATTTCTTTATCATAATTGTCTTCTTTACACAAGCTGCAAAAGGGAGCAAATCACTGTTGAGCAATTTGATCTAAATCAGGCTTAAATCAACATGCAGTGTTCCACGTTACAATGGTATAAGGTTCCCATTCAATTGAGAGAACTAATCCAATTTAAATTTCAGCCAACCTATCATCTGAAAAGCTACTACCAAGCAAGAAATTAGCAGCACTCTTCATATCCTGATTGATACCTTGATGCATCCAGAAAATGACACAAGAAATGAAAATATTTCGCACGAATTTAAAATATTGCGAAAGAGGTATTGCCACACTGCAAAAGGTACGCACCACAAAATATCCTCATTTCCAAAGTCTCGGCTACTTAATGCTAAGCAGTAAAAGCTTTTGTGCAGCGTCAGTAAGCTGGAATGAATAGAGAATCAAGAGTTACGATTTTCTAGTCAATCGCAATTCCGCGTGGCTTTGTTCGACTGCAACTATATTCTCTTTTAGCTTTATATTGCAAAATAATTTCACAAAATGAAGAACCAGTCCGCTTTCAAATCTGTTTTTTCCAAGCTATGGAATGTCTCGGAAATGCGGATATGGGCCATGTACGACGTTGGGCATGACTTAAAGTGCGAAGCATTCTTGAAAGCGTGCCAAGTTAACACGAGTACGCGTAAAGAACGGAAGCGGCTCCACGCAGGGAGTGCTCACGTGGCCCGCGAGGCGCAGCACCACGGTGAAGCTTTTCTTGTGCGGCGGGCCCGATTCGTCGACGAGCCTGTACTGGAGTCCAACTTTGTTGAAGCGGGCCAGCTCGTTGACCAGGCACATGGGCGTCTTCTTCTCTTTATTGTTTGCCACGGCCGTAGTGGGCTGCTCCCCGTTGCAGGAAGGCGGCGACGGGCCTTCCTGCTCCGCCGGAGCGCACTCGCCGCTCGGACCCGAGCTCAGCATGCTGCGGCCACTGCGTGCGTACAAAAGAGCGGCGTCAAGTCACGCTTCTTCGCGAGCCGCGCCCGCGTACGCACGCGCGTGCTCATCTCCGCCAGCTTTGGACAGCGCGTCCTTGCGCGAGCATGTAGCAGCGCGTGCGAATGAGGCACGACTCCCATGACACGGCCGCCTCTCCTCGAGGCGCTAGCGGTGGTGACGAGACACGCTCGCTACTCACGATCAAAGCAGCAACTGGGACACTGCTGTCCAGGCGGTGAATGCCATTTTAAGCCCCGATCTAGTCGGAGCTCAAAAACAGACCACTAAACGTTGGCAAACAGTGAAGAAAATTTCTGTGCGCCGCCGGCGACTCAACCCTACACGCTGCTCATTACGGTAGTTGGCCGCAGCAAAGCCGCAGCCGTCCCCCTGTCGGCTTAAGCTGGCTCGAGGCTCACGAAATTGCTAGCTTTGGCAGCGCTCTATTTCGCCTGGTAGGAAAGTGTCGCAACATTTTAGCCACCTAGTGGATGTATAGCGTTTAAAGACGTTCTGTGGTCATATCTCTACGGGGAGTTAGTTTCGCTTTTTGTGTGTTGTCTGGTCGTGCGAATCGTCCGCCGCACTTCGATACGTGCACGACATGAGCTTACTACTGTGCGACTTCGGGGATATTTTGTGATCACCGCTTCTTGTCCTGCAGTGCAGTCACGCTCTGTTATTTTTTCGTGTGCGACAACAAGCCGAAATCAAGATGCTGGTCGCAAACAGCTCAGCCACGTGCCTGTTGTGTTCTCGGTTTGCAAGTTTTCGCGATCGTCTGTGCTGTAGTCGCCTTATTTCCAGGTGCTTTGTGACTGCGAATGAGAAACAGCAGTCCTTGTCTTCCGCTAAACGCAAACGACAGCCGCCGGTGTCTTTCCCCGACAGAGTTTTCTCCGGCATTCAACCTAGCGGTGTGCCGCATTTGGGCAACTATTTCGGTGCTATTCAAAGTGGAAGACGCTGCAGGACTCGGGGAGTGATTGCATATTCAGCGTAGTAGACTTGCACTCCATCACGAAGCCACACTATAACCCAGACAAGCTGAGGTAAGTTCGCGTGAAACTTGCGTCCAAACCACACCGCTTCCTACAGTTCCATCATACAGCCAGCTTTGACTCGACAGGGAGAACATCGAGCTCATGACTGCCAGCCTCCTCGCATGCGGAATTGATCCTGAAAGATGTACACTGTTTTTGCAGTCACAGGTAAGAACTTGCCTACATTTTGAAACACTTCCTTGTTGGCAACTATAGTTATGCAGCGTCGCTTTTTTTAAGTGCGTAACACTTCAGGGCCCGGCTTATCCATCGTTCTCATACCTCATGGTCACGCAATGGTCAAGACCACTCTGGCAAAAACAGGGCTCAAGCAAGGTGAAAAATACTCAAAACCAGTGAAAAACAAACCAGAAACGTCTAAAGTAATATAAACTACAAAAATAACCATAAACTAATCGCAACAATTTAGCTGAAATCGCAAGAAACTCTTCTAAAACATGCTACTGATACCCACACCGCGCGAGAGAGGGCGCCACCGCATCGACAAGAGTGCGATCGCCGAGGCGGAGGGAAACGCCAAGGCATGCACCAAGGGCATCGCCGGTTGGCCATCCCATAGAGTTTCCTGTAATACACTAGAGGGAACTCTGGCGCTAGTGTCTAAGGAAGCTGCAATGCATAGCGCTTCAGCGAGTATGGAAATGATGGGTAGTACACGGATTGGGCGAATTTTCGTACTTTTGTCTCCGTTTGGCTTCGCATGGCTTAAAGGTGCTTTGTTACGAAACAAAAATCGGCAAAAGTTCAGCAGTTGCACTTCACTACCATAGCCTTTTAGGCTCACCTTTTCAAATCGGGTCACAAAGTTCGCAACCGTCCCATGTTTCATTCGAAGCAAAACTAAAACACAGCGATAAACAAAGCCACAAGTGTGTTTGAAACTCGCAAGCACGAAGACTAGGCAAATGCATGTACTACCCATTATTCCTATGGTTGCTGAACGATCGCAGTGCCAGAGTCCCGTCTAGTTAATTTTAGGAAACTCTATGGCCCGTGCTACACACTTCCTCTGGTTTCATGGTAGTGTAGCTGCATTAAGGTTTGAAACTATGCCAAGGTGTGCACAAATTTCCTTACCAACAACGCTGCCGATGCTGGCACCGGATTTTTTTATCCTCAGGTTCCAGAGCACGCAGAGCTTTCATGGATCCTCGGATGCTTGCTCACTACAGCTAGACTACAGCATCTACCAACACTGAAGGTAGTGTTCTAGTTGAAATATATTTGAACTTTCACAAAGATTTTCTTGCAGCACACGTGAAGGATGTCTGAGCACTCAGTCAAACCATAGAGAGTTTTAAAGAATGGGTGATGTCAAGTAAATTTGGATATGGCCAAGTTTGTTTTACCTTATGTTGTTTGCTTGCTCAAAAAATGTTGGGTGCTTTGCACAGGACAAGACTGCTGGCATGAAGGAAACACCATTGGGGCTGTACCTTTACCCTGTGCTTCAGAGTGCAGATGTGCTGCTGTACAAGTAAGCGGGAGCGTCACGGGTTGCCATTCCTGGTTGTAATTAAGTGAGGCTTTTTTTTTTTTTTCACGCAGAGCAACACAGGTGCCCGTCGGAAAGGACCAGTTGCCTCACATATTTCTAGTGCAAGACGCAGCGGAACTCTTCAACAAACGCTTTGGGCTGGTCTTTCCGAGACCTGAGGCCCTTTTAGGCAAGTATTTGCCTACTCACTCCTCAGCTTACAAAACGCCACTGTTCCACAGCAGGCTACACTTGTTGTGTAAGCCTCTGCGAAAAAAAATTCATCGGCGTGGAACAAGAGAGCACAGTAGTTATGCCGATATATACTAATACAATTTTTTTTTCCTGCCAGTGTCTGGAGAGGCTGGTCGTTTGCGCCACCTTCGTGACCCGACAAAGAAGATGAGCAAATCGAGCGATGACCCTCGCAGCTATGTCGCATTGGATGACCCACCTGAGGCAGTGCGCAAGAAGATCAAGCGGGCAATCACCGACTGCACTTCGAAAGTAACCTTTGAGCCAGAGTCCCGGCCAGGTGTTGCGAACTTGGTGGCTTTACACAGTCTGCTTACTGGCCTGAGTCCCGAGGAGGTGACTGCTATTGTTACATCACCAATTAAGGGATCCATATTGTATGCAATGCTACACATAAAATGACACATCAGCTTCAAATGACCATGGCATTCATTTGCAACTACATTTTCTGTTGGAGAAACTGTAGTGTATAAGAAAATCTATGTGCATCTGTTTCTGCAAGGTTTTCAAGGTATATGACATAAGTATATGCTAGGATAAGTTGTATAAGCCATGCATTCAGAGCATGAAGCAATGCCGGTGCACCTGTCTATTAGGGGTTGCTGCAACGTTACAACAGACTTTTGTAGCTATAACTGTCTGAAAGGAGTCCCGCGACACTAATTAAGCATGTCATTTTCATTGCTTCTTCTGCAGCTTTGGAATATACTGATATCATTGCAAAAACGGCCACGTGAGAAACAAAGCTGTTATCATTTTATTTCAACAATGAAACAACATTAGTTTCGAATTAGAGCGACAAGCAATAGCTATTTTTGTGTTCGAAAATGATGTTTCATCATGTGAAAGTGACATTGGCTGAGCATTTTGATTGGTTTGACACAACAGATCCCGCATAGTATTCATGTGGTCTTAGCTAGGCCACACTATTGTGTGCTGAAGATTATGAAAACACTCCTTATACTTTCTGAGATACAAAAAGATTTCTGTTTTTAAATAAATATGAAATGTTTAGAATCGTTCAAAAACGATGCTGGGTGTGCTGCACAACTGCCACAATGAGGCAAGTTTTTTGGTATGTCTCTGTAGGAGGCGCTGTGTGATTGGAACCGGCCTTTGACGTCACTGGAAGAGTGAAATGCGAAATGGGGTGTTTGTATATTTATCTGCTAAGGTTTCGAAGTTTGAAGACTGATAGCTTCCACAACCATACTAATTTTTTATAATTCTTGTTGCGTTCACATCAGTATTCAGCACTACATTCCAGCATTGCAGACAAAAAAAACGTTACAGGGCACCTTTAAGAGAGCAAGCCACTGCTCAAGTTACACATTGCAGTTTCATGCGATACGATGCACCACATGATGGTGTTATTCAAAGCTATTCTACATTGTGTCATATGGCAATGTGTGCACCAACTGTAGTTCCTAGCTCACAGTATCCTGTTGCTACCTATTTAATTTGTTCACAATGCTTGCAGGTGTGCCTGCAAGCAGACAGGCCTCGACACTGGCCAGTTCAAGCTCATGGTTGCCGACGCAGCCGTGTCCTTCCTGGAACCAATACAGCAACGAATGCAGGAGCACATGTCAGATCGCGCTCGCCTGTGGAACATTCTAGAGGAAGGCTCGAGGAGAGCACGCCAAATAGCTGTTCGAACACTGGACGAAGTGCACAGAGCATCTGGAATGGCCCCTATTCATGTCAAAGACAGTGAAAAACCAGTGGCACAGTCTGCAAGTTGTTAGGGATATCTTCTGAGACTTATAAGAGACTCTTCGCAGAGCGTGCTTTGTAGACTCTGTGTGTTGCTTCACCTTCCAGCTTTATTTTCTGACAGTCGATCAAGACTAAAGACAAAGATTTAAGCTGTGTCATAAAACTCTTGCTTTTTCATCTGCCTCCTTTAATTGTGCTCCCCACAAATGTGAACATACTTACTGCAGTTAATGAAGAGATGCGAAATCAAAAAGTGGCACCCCAAGGTATGATAAGGAAAATAGTACGTATATATATATATATATATATATACATATAGAATGGCGAACTGCTCTTTAAAAGTCTTACTTTCATTTGTTTGAAAGGGAAAACTTCCTTACTGGCATGGAAAAAAAAAGGTGGGGGGCATAGTTTCCATTGCTGTATTTACCAATTGCCCTAATTGCGTTACTGGTATGCTAGGGCGACATCAAGCATATCAAAATAGCATTTATTTATTTCGGCTGTGTCTGCACATTAAAAGTCTTCTGAAGCTACTAGTTGGCTCTCCTGTTTCTTCAAAGTCTATATTGTTTTTCCATAGGGACAAACAATTGAACCCAGCACTGAGCAAATACAGCAAAAGCTTGTTAATTAGGATTTCACAAAACCGAAAAAAATGTCTGAATTGAACAAATGGTGAACTATCGAGAGTAACTAGAATAAAATAGTGAACAAGCATCTCTTACATCAACACACTTTCATTTCCTTGAAGAATGCGTAAATTTTTTACAGCATTTTTTTTATTACTTTCTTCTAATTAGGCGGAGTGCAGGACTAAAAGCTCAAGAGCTTGACGAGGTCCTGACCCCGTTCACAAGTTGACAAAGCAGCAGGAATGGCAGACAATCATGCATAACAAATATCAAATAAACCTACAGGTATAACATCACAAAAATTAATAAAAGTAACATTACAAAATGTAACGAGAATAGTTGAAATGGATGGTCATGAAGTGACATGAACATGAAAAGCTATAATAGAAAGGAAAGATTGGTCATAAATTCTGAAAGATGTATTGTTCGGGAAAATGTATTAGCTAGGCAAAGTGTTTAATGTACTTAGTCCAGTACTTAATTTGCATGAGAGCAAAGTAAAATTTGCAATTGTTGCAATTTCGGGCTGTGTTCACAATTTGACCGTGGCTTGACCCGCCCGTCTTAGTCTATAAGGTAATGAACCATAATTAACCTGAAATGTTTACTGGGAGGTTTGGGCTGATAACGATGGCAATTCAGACTGTACTGCTTCATTTTTATGTCTGCAAACACCATTATTGCTCCTTTGCATTGCACATTTGTGGCACTACACGCTCGATGCACTCTTGAGAATCATGCGAATAAACCGGTAAGCAGCCAGCCAGATATGACCAAATTAATATAGTTTGATGCCATTAAACAATTTATATGCTTGTCATGTTCAGAGAACACATCCGAATCATCTGATTCTACAAATTGACGGGGGCTGAATTAAGATTTTACTGTACTGTAAAAGTCTAATATTCTGGGGCAGTAGGACACTGGCAAAAAAAAAAAAAAAAATTGTATGAGTGTGCTTCTTGCTTGTGCGTCTTCTCTTACAGCAAAATTTACCTAGCTGCTGTTCTATGTGCTCGCTCTACCAGTTAAATTATTTTTAATTGGTGCTTATTTACATGAACTTGTGGGAGCAGATTATTCTATATAAGGCTTAAATGTCATTGACATGCATTGAGGAGTGAGGCAAGACAAGTGATTGTATTGCTTGAATTTGCAGGTCAACTCGCACCAACTAGTTTGTAAAGAGCCAAATACCATTCTGCGCTAAATGTCTGTGTTTGAAAAGTGGGACATATAAACATACATCAACTTCATTTAAAATTCCTAACATATAGTAATCGAGAGTATTATATTGTACTAGGCACTGCTTGCAATATTGCCATATTTCATACTCTGTCCTTTCAGGCGAAAGGACAGAGTAGTCTAATGGACATGCTTATAATATAATGTCGTGTCGACAAGTAAATGAAAGTTACTGAACATCGCCATGTTTGCCAGCGTGCATGGCATGGGCACTGTCCACACGCTGAATCTGTTTGTATGCATTCTGTAGTAAAAAGTGGAAATTAAGTTTGGCTGTTACTCTATACTCTCTTAACTGTTTCAATGATTTTTCTAACATAAAATGTTGCCTAGGCAGTTCCAGATTGTCGCAGAGTTCACTTATATTTAAACCTATAGAGAAATTCCGCACAGAGTGATTCGTGATTATGAGAAAGATTCATCACTACGAGACTACTTACAGTTTGTAATTGTAAAGAATAAAAGGCCAAAAGTATTAATTGATACAAAAACACTTGGTATTCAGCGCTCCTCTCCCAAATTTAAATTTTCCGATCCCTGCCTCAAAATTTTTCGTATTGACATTGTCCACCATTTTGACATAAATTGGATGACTTCAAGTAACACGAGCCTATCACTCCGTCATCTGAGCCAGAACAACTTGAGAAGATATGAAATGTTTTGTTCCATACGTCCTGTGCTGTTATTTGTGAGCACTCTTTCTTGGCAAGAGTCGGACTCTGGCTTCATAGGTACGACATATTTCTCAGTATTTTTTTAAACGATACAGATTTCTTTCAAGAAAAGTCTATGACAGTCGGGCTTCTGTTGTTTTCGAACATGAACAATATGTCAAAATGGAAATACACTTTCACATATAAAATTACACAGATGCATCTTATTAGCATACAATTGTTAACTAGCTATTCAATTATTGACTTAAGTGCAGTTGTTTATGTTATAAAGTTGTGGTGCCTGATAACTTAATGGCACATTCAGTTTTTAGCAATCACTAAAGTTGCATGTAGTATGAGATATTTATCATGGACTTTCAAAGGGCAAAATGGTGTGGCGAAGTAGAAGCTGCTCAAAAAATTGGCAAGGGATATAAAAAACACAAGTAGTAGACAGATTACTGCTTGCGTGTGAAGTGTAGTGCTTGTCCATTTCTTTCTGTAACTACGAAGAGGTGCAAAAAATTTTGTCTGTCTTGATGGCTGCCCCCGAGTTTAATGCTTCCTAGACAAAGAAAAGATTGATATTGAACCTTTCCTCTGCACCATTCAAAATAAACACATAAGCACCAAACACTACATACAAAAGTAAAGCGATGCATTGGCATAAATAAGATTACTTGCAGTTCTTCAGGAAAAGAGACAGCCACAGGGCGCCATCATTCAATTTTGTCACTTCCTTGTTACAGGTAGTTTCGGTCTGACGTAAGAGAACAATCACGTTTCATGCTCACCGGGCACGATCAGTCCCAATTTTGCCTTTAAGTTTAATGATGCATATTTCAAACTACGTGCAACTTTTGTGATTTCTAGAAATCAGTATACTACAAATTGGCATGCACTAAACTTAGCTGTATAAACAACTGCCGTTCAACACTCAAGCCTCATTATAACAAAGTTGCATGTTACTCAAAAATAAGTTCGTTATATCTAAAAATTTGTTATAAACATATGTTCCTAACACTATGTTTGTTGCAAAGCTGTTTTTTATGTACTATGTTATAACTGATAATTCATTATATCCATGTTCGTTCCACCAAGTGTAGTCACAACAGTGTAATTTCAGCTGGGGCTAAGTATTTCTTTTTTGATATAAAGTTTATGTGGGAAAATGGCAAGAGCCTGAGTGTCATTGAATTTTTATTTAAAAAAAAAACTAGTATTGCCTAAAAAAGAAACACCCTGTATACTTGAGAAACATTTTATATACAGAGATTAGAACAGTATTAGAACGAACGGTATTCTTTCACTTGCCAATGAACTTTTTTTCGGTTAAGCACCTAACTAGTAAGATGCGTATATAAAAGCAGAACAATGCATGTCTGCCATGACCCATTTCCAGCTCCTCTGGCCTCTTCCAGAGCTCCCAGTATATGCCCTTCAATATGAGCCTTCCTTAATCTGAGGGAATCAAGGAGAGCTATGAGGTGAGCTAGTTTACATTGATTCATCTTCAAAAGTGCACTTTGTTAACAGACACACAGGATTAATAAATACAGTACAGGACACAAGGAAATAAGCAGAATGAGGAGGGAATTCTTTCTTGTGTTGCACTTTTGTTTTGTCACCTCTTATTTTTGTCAAACTGCAGTATGGTTCAGCTACAATTGAAAAAAAAAAAAAAAAGGATTCATACTAAAGTTGTCTGCCACACAAAAAAATTAGGCTTGTGCAAATATTCAAATGCTCCGAATATTCGAACAAATAATGCAATATTTGAATTCTCTTTGAATTGAATTGATATTCTTAAAACTTTTGAAGTACTCGAAACGAACGAATAAAATTATGTTAATCTGCATGCAACCTTTTGTAAAAGTGGTTTCACTGCAGTAAAGGGGTGCTAAGCCATGAAAGCGCCTAAACGTTTATTAGTCTGCATGTAATTGGCTGTAAAGATGATTTCACTGTAACAAAATAGTTCTAAGCCGTAAAAACTAAGCTTGTGCAAATAGTGAATTTTAGGTTCGAAGGCAATAGTGATTTTGGTCGAATAATTTTGATTCAAATTTAAATAGTACACATAACATATAAAAAAATGCCCATATTTGTCATGACCTAGCTAACCTGCTCAATGTTTTTAAAAATTGAAACAAGGCCTCTGTGCAAATGCATTTTTTTTTTGTTCATAGAAACTCGAAACAACTTTTGAATGGTAGCAGTATTTGCCTTTCGGTAGAAGGGAAGTGATAACCTGTAAAATATGTAAAGTTTCAAAATTCACTATACTTAGAGCATATACCGGCACAACAAGCTTTTATACTTAAAAAAAATAATGAATCGATTTAAGTATAATATCTTCATTCAACCTTGAAGTGAGACTCCACAGCATTGCAAATTTTTTTTGAATAGGTGCTCTCACAGTTCAGAATCTCCATACTGCAGTAAAACTATTTTTACAAAAAGTTCATACATTTGTAAAATGTTTTTACTATTTAGCACTCCTTTACTGCAGTGAAACCATCTTTACAGGGTGTTACATGCGGACTAATAAACACCTAATATGTCATTGCGAACACATCGAAATTTTCAGTAACTTAAGTTTGAATCAATGCGAATTCGAATACTGTACTATGTGTTCGAATATTCGCACAGGCCTAGTAAAAACACATATCCAGGAGAAATTGACAATGTCGCGAAGTCCCACTTTAAGGTTAAATGAAACTATTACCCACATATCAATTATTTTTCATTGCGATAGCAGATATATGGACACTTTCAGCTGGATTTTGCCGTCGGCATCGCCGTCACTCGCTGTATATGTATACGTATCTATATACATGAAAATGCAAGAAAAAAAACCCAGAAAAGGACTCAGGCGCATGGAATCGAACTTGCGTCCACCGAATCATGAGTGCGAGGCGTTAACACTGTGCCACCCAGGAGCACATCCTTCAACATTCAAACGGCAAGCTATTTATATCTACCACTTACTGCTGCTGACAGGTATCTTGGGGGGAATTGTGTTTTCAGCATTAGCAGCAAGATGGCGCAATGAGCGCGTGTCGCCACATCGCACGGCGGCGAGCGCTCTAATCTCCCTCGCGTACTTCACCCCGCTTAAAAAAGGGGAGTGACACTTCCTCGCACCTTGAAAGAAGTTTGCGAGGAAAAAAAAACTTTGAATTCTGAGCGCAAAAACAGACTGTGTACATCCAAAAGTCGGTTTAAGTCTGCATCTGGTTCACATCTTGTGCTGGCCAGTTATCGACGTGTGTGGGGCCACCCAAGAATGCTGCCGCGGTGGCAACAGGGGCACATGCCACCGTGCGTAAGGAAAGAATGTCTCTTAAAAGGGTCGGTCGCCTCTTTACCTTTCATCTTAGCCCGTTTCCCTTCATTGGCCTTCAAGTTGTAGGCGAGCGTAAACACTTCGCTTTGTACGTGCACGTGAAGAAAAAAGGAAAAAAAAGAGAGACTCTTGCAAACCTCTTTCAAGGCGAGAGGGACGCAGCAGCAACCAAGTTTGAACGTCTACTTTAGTCTAACTCATCCTCTGACGAAGGAAAGTCTCCTCCCAAAACTGTTAGGGAATAAATATATTTATCCTTGTTGACAATGCACCCATTGTGTCATATCCCACATCTTCACACACACACGCGCGCGCGCGCACACACACACACACACACACACACACACACACACACACACACACACACACACACACACACACACACACACACACACACACACACACACACACACACACATATACTATTTGAAGTTAATTCGACAACCAAAATCACTATCCTCTTCAAATTCATTTCTAACCTAAAATTCACTATTCGCACAAGCCTATCAAAAATGCTAAGCAATATTTTGGCAGCTTGCAGTGGTATGGGTACGGCACAATGTACCATCCCTACACGAAGATTTGGCATCCTAGCTCGACTGTCTTGGATCCTGTGCAGAGGTTACTGTGCATGGTTACTAAAAACATGGGACTTTATTTTGATCTTCTTGAGCATTCCTAGTTCGTTGCTGGAACACGTCAAAAGATCTTGATGGCTCGAATGTCTGAGTGTGGGTTCTCAATGTGCTCCTTGCTCTGCACCAGGCGTAGCTCCAAGAGTGCTGCTGCTGCTGCTGCCGCTGCTGCTGGAGCAGCGGGCTTGCCTTCCGCCTCAGATGCAGGTGCAGTGCCAGCTGCAGCTTCACCTTCTTTTTCTTTCTCTGCAACATGAGACAAATCCAGACAATCATGCGTGTAACTAACGAATTTCGGGGCTGAGATAGTGCTCGGGAGGGAAGTCACCCAAGTATTCAGCTATTTGTTCATTTTATTCTGAATGTTAAAAAAGCACGGATACAAAATATTGAACACAAGATAACGGGTGACATGGCTTTATGTGGAGATGTACACAACTACAGAATATCATGAACAAATAGAGCATAGAACATGCTTAGAATCAATTTTAAAGTGCATGCCATGTGATGTGCCTAAGCGAGATGCGGAGCACCTCGCGACATTGACATCAATGCAGTTTTAACGTAAAAAAATTCTAGGTCACAAGTCTGTGTTGGCTCGTCAGTGCGGCGCTCTCTCAAGCGCGGCGTCCACGTCATAGTTTTGCCAAGTGGCGAGGCCAGCTGTGCATACCTCGCCACCGGAACTTCTCCTGTCTAGCTCGGTGCTCTTTGAAGCCAAAACTTCAACTGGGTGCTCTAAAAATGTCTCGAAATAAGTAATCTTCCCACACTCGCACAAACGAGGTTTCTAGCCATGATAAGTGGGTCTTATCTACTTATAGCAAAAAAAGAGATGATGCAAAATCTTTGTGTCACTGCTCTTTAAGAAATACAAAGAGCATCATCAAAAAGCCAACATAAATGGCTGCCAAATGTGAACTATGCACCTGTTAACGTTAAAGATAGGAGCCTTGTAGGTAGCATTTTGCCCACTCGAAGGGGCCATGCAGTGACAACGGTTAGCGAGCTGTATATGTTGGCACTCATGTGAAAACATTTCTAGCACAATGATTATGAAAGTACATATTAGTTTGGTTATAACACATAGCCTTAAGTGGTGGTTTCAAAGTGGTACATTTCAATGGAGCAGTCATTTACTTTGTGGGCTGCCAAGTCTGAGCTTGTGTTAGTACAAGAAAGTTATTTGGCAGTTTACACAAGTCTCCAAGTTCTATTTTACGTCATATGCGGGTTGGCAGAAAAAAAAGATGAGACATGGAGCATCGCGTCATCAGTCTTTCTTCTTTGATGAAATGAAGTTTTTCTTTCTCATTGTCTATTTACAGAAATAAATATGAAATCTGAGCCAAACTGCACTGTTTACTTATTACTGTGGCTGTGCATGACCTCATAGCATTCCTTTTATACGCAGTTAAAGTGAACTTCATCTATTAAACAATCATCAAGACAAATACAAAATAATTACAAGTTGCCTCAAGTATGGCCTGCAATGTTCATAGATAGATGAGCACTGCCATACACAGAATATCTGACTCGTACAGGATAACTTTCTTAGCAGTTTTTTTTTCTCTTTTTTGCTTGCCCCTACATTGTGGTCAATAGTGGAACAATAAGCATATTTCATAATGGGAAGGCAACAGCAAAACTTACCTGACGCATGCTTGAACGTCTTAAGTAGAACACCTTGAACAGTGGCCACAGCTTTCTCCAGTGCCTCCTAAACAATGAAGATTACCAGACAGAGCAATGAATCTGCATCTATAAAAGAAATTACTCCAAAAAACTATTTGTCTGTAGCAACAAATGTCTATTCAATAAGCAGAGCAAGAAAAAAGATTGTAAGATAATTAGCGCAAACTTCACTCCTCAAAAACTCTTTATGTGAGTGTTTGAGGGGTCAAGTTTGCGCTAAATATCTTACAATATGACGAATGACCAACTAGCCCAACAACAAGTTTTATTGAGCAAGAAAAAAGATATCAACAACAAGAAAACGCAAAGAAAAGAATCTACGAGTTTCTTTATATTACACAACGCCTCATATTACACAAAAGCATTGTTTCGGAACCAGTACAGAGCTAGTCACAGGACTGACCACTGAATGGCTGAGCCTAGACAACAGAACAAAAGGATAAGCTCTCTCGAATACGAGACAGACAGGCACTCAGGCAGGATGCGCTATTCATACCAGAATCAAATGCACTCTTTAATGTAACCTACCATTAGATAACAGAGAAAAAGAGAACTATTTACTGAGTAAATCTGTCGAGTAAAAAAAAAAAAAAAAGTACCTCACACACAGACAAAAGACCGAAAATAGAGGCACTCGTGAGTGTACCTTTACAAGAGTTGCATAGATAAGATAAAGCCCACACTAAGACACTGTCAACACTAGGGCATAGCCACTCCACATACTTATGCCGATATCACAGTGCATTGCGTTCTTTACATCTGCAGCACAATGGAATAATACTACATATATAGAAGAATAGCACAAATGGTCAGCAGATGTCGTTTTTATGCTTCTTATGTGGCACAATATTTTGAAGCAGCTGTACAAGATATTAGAAACTTGCTATCTGGGCAAAGCCATTCCGTCAAACACCATGTGCAGCCAAAATGCAAAGGCTGATTTTGGAAATGCGAGCAATAAATAGAAGGGGGAGGAGGAGTGGAAGAATAATGCTTCAAAGAAGCCACAATAAATTATGCAAGTATAAGCATAAAAAACCAAAGCCAGAAAACATGTGAATTAGTTGTAATTATGAATGTGCATTTGTGTTTGGGCTCATCCACGCACATATTCATAAAGATACTTCATGCAGCTTGTGCAACATTACCTAAACATGTGATGTACAAACAAACATTCTATCAAAACATTCTTGCCATATAATTTCCAACAGTTACAAAAGGTTTGAACTGCATGAGCTACATGCAACGGAACTTTTTTTTTCACTGACTTGCAGTTATGTGTTTGCTGTATACATGGGTTGGTGAACTCACTGAGTCGACTCTTAGTGAGTTCGGGTGAATAATAATCTGACGAGTCTGAGCCCGAGTGAGTCCAAAGCGCAAATTATATTTTTGAATGAGTTTGAGTGAGTTCCACCTTTTCTGCAGACTTATATGGTCCTATCTACTCATCTTCTGCATTAATATCAGCCTTACTTGAATTCGCATTTATATACTCACATCTCCTAACATGTATTCTAAAATGATGTCATTCGTACACCATTTCAATATTTATTAATCAAAGGTGCAAATTACGTATCGGGGTGCCTGGACCTCCCCTCTGCCCCGCCAACTCCTTCAGGAAAGTTCTTGATAAGTATATCTTTTGTTGTTCTCTTTCAAGAAAAATGACCTCACTGGTTTGCGAGCACTCATAACGCACACACATTCTAGGGTACTATATCAAAAGGCACTAAGAAGAACCCTGGTTACACGAGATATTGTTGTTATAGGGCATTGACACCATGGTCGAAAAAGCTAATTCTAGGCTAACCGACTCATGAGTCGACTCAGACTCAAATGAGTGGGTGTGAGTGAGTGTGGATGAGTAATATTTTGGGGAGTTTCGAGTGAGTCCAATTGAAGAAAATTTTCGTGAGTGTGAGTCACTAAGCGCTAAATATACTTCACGAGTGAGTCTGAGAGAACTTCAAAGGTTTTGCCGACCTGTGGTTGTATGTACTATTGGCATGAAATAAGACGCAAGCAGCAGCGAGCATTAGCAATATTACTGTGCACGCCATCCATTTATCACCACGGTCAGGCCCTCGCATCTACAGTTCTCCAAAACCAGACGTGAGTGCCTGTCAATGGTGATAACTGAATGGTGCACACTATAGCGTTGCTGATGCTTGCTGCTGTGAGCATTTCATTTCACTTTGATAGTACGTGTTTGATTCAACTGCAAAACAAGCAGCTCTCTATTTTCGATATTTTTAAACATATGAATCGTGCACTTGCTCCAGTTTAACCAGCTAAAAGTTATGTGCAGTCACATTATTTATTGAAGCAGTGCCTAATACTATAGCTTGCATTTAAAAAAGAAGACTCTAGAACACATTTAGAATACAATGGGCCTGTCATGAGGGGTACCATGTTTTAGTGTACCTACTGGTAATTGTATGCAAGCTTGCTCGAGAAGCTACCAGTTGAGCCTGCGTTTCATGCCATTTTATCCTTACTTGCTTTGGCACCTGTATTCAAATATAATGCACTCGCCGCATTCTTGACAAATGAAACAGCAAAGACACATCTTCCACACTAACTAATGGCGTACAAACCTTGAGGTTGTTTGTGCGTGTGATCCAGGCGAGAATGCAGGCCGCCAACAGGTCGCCAGTGCCGGTGAATTGTGCATTGATGGCAGGAATCTCAATTTTGACGGCGCTGCGTGTGCCTCCCTTCTTGCTGCTGCCGTACAGGTAGATCTCCTTGGCCGTGTCGCTCGGTCGGTACGACGTAAGCACCACGATCGGGATGCCCTTCATGTGCAACACGTCCATCGCCTCCAACACCGTGCTCTCTGTTGTAATTTGCTTTCCTGAAAGGAGCCTGAAATAAGAAATGCAATCCTTAGCAAGCTTGGAAGCATCATTTTAAAAAAATTAATAAATTCTAGGGGTTTAACGTCCCACAACCACGATATGATTATAAGTAGAGCTGTGTAACTGGCAAACTTATGGGTGCAAAGTAAATTCGAATATTGAGGTGCGAGTGCAAAATGAATAGAATATTTTTCGAATAATTATCGAATATTTCTAGCAAATTTATGAATACTTTGAAGCCAAACTGCAGAAACAAGTTAGAGAGAATTCCTAAGTGTTTCTTTCGATTAGGTTGATGAAGTGCTGGCAAGGTAATGTTTCAGAGTTGTCTTATCAAGAATGAAGCAAAGCAGAAACCAAACTGTATTTATGTACATACATGATTTGGTGAAACCAAAGTGTTGCCAACACATTACACGTGTAAGGCAAAGATGCTATTTCCATAGCCTTTCCTCCTCTTTCAGCTTCTGTGGAAGCCTAACTGATGATGCTGACAATGGCGTACTCAAACCTGGAGTTCAAAATCTGCCTCATAGACATCAATAAGAACATCTGAAATTTTGGATGCTAAAAATCTTAAGCGTTCGATTTTTCAGACTTCCGGCCAAAATTTCGGGTGTAAAACAGTATTAATTCTGCCCCCACTTCTGCCACATCTATCATCTCCCCATTGGAACCAGTGTTTTCTTGAGTCAATACATTTGCGACCGAAGCAGAGCCTAAAAAGCAGCTTTGCCGCAATAACAGAATGTGATAGGGTGACGCATATTAAAAATCTGAAGGAGCCGCTGTTAATTGGACGTCGACTGTATTTGTCTTCAGGAAGTTCAAATAGTTTGAATAGTATGATTCCAGTACGAATCGAATAGCAAACACTATTTAAAAAATATTCAAAATTTCGAATGTTCACACACACTTTAATTATAAAACATGCAGGTGTAGAAGGCTCAGAAAAATTTGACCACCTGGGATTTTCAAACGTGCACCTAAATCTAAGCACACAGGCAACTAGCAATATGCCTCTACTAAAATGCGACTGCCATTGCTGGGATTCGATTCCGCGACCTTCACGTTACATTCAAATGGATATAAAAGACAAAGAGATGTTGAACTGTGTTATAGTAAATTATGCATTTAAAAAGTAAGACGGTCACTTTCATTACTGTGGGAAAAAAAAAAACAAGAATTGCTTAGATTATTGCAACAGTCACAAACTGTCTTGAGTATAAATGATGTCAGAGCACACACGGCCCAGCTATAGTTGCATATTAAGGCATACTTGCACGTGGGCCATCATTGTCCCCGGGGTTATTACAAGAGAGTCCTTGAAAGCTTAATTAAAAAATATTTTGTGAGCAGGCATTTAAAAGCTTTACTGTGACATAGCTTTAATGAGGTATGATTACAGCAGTTGACGGCAACATTAGAACCCTTAGTTATGTAGTTAGAGCACACCTTGCTTGTTTGCACAAGCTATGTAACAATAATGAATTTCAATCACCAGGAGACGATGAAAACGGAAACTATACTCACTCTAGTTCGTACTGGTTTGGCGTGACCACATCAGCCATGGCCACAAGCCGGTCCTTATAGATGTTCACTAGGCTTTGAGGCACATACTGGATAGGAATAAAATGATAGGAAAAGCACAGGAAAATGGCCTAAATGATCTTACCAGGTAAACTAACAGTTACATATGGCTTCCTGGGCATACAAATAAATGTATGACCATGGTGATCATAACATTAATGAGGTGAATATTTTGTTTGAACTAAGCCAGTTAAAACACTTTTCACTTCACAGTGTTTTGTTTTTCACTTCACAGTGTTGTTCACAATAAAAAGTTATCATCTGTGGTTTTGCCTGTGTGTTGAATGTGTACCAGAGAAACAAATGGGCACAGATGAACAGTGTGATGCCAGAATAAAATGCATACTTGAGACAGTGAACTAGTAAATGATTTCCCTTTCCACATTTGCTGGTGTGCTATTCACTGGGGCAATTCAATCAACAGGCTTTTTTCTTTGAAAAGGTGTGTGTGTGCAGGGGGGGGGGGGGGGTATTATCAGCATTTATCTGCCCTAAGATTACACGTCTCTCTTTCAAGCAATTGTCTATGAAACCTGATTGTGTTTTCCTTATAGCTTTATGCTGCTAGCAGGTGCATAATTTTTCCACATTATGAAACTTCAATTCATTTACAAGATTTTTGGGAATTTTCTTTCTTGTGCTCTATAAAAAGAGACCCAATGAACAACACTTTTTCCCTCAAGCGTGCTGATAAATTTACCTGTTATATCACACACAGTCCAACTCGAAACAAGGGCTACGCTTTGATAAGGAATGTCTGGTGCCAGCTAGTCCTTGTCTGTGAAATGAATGCAGCCTTCTTCTTAGATAAGATAACTGCATGCTCATAGCAGCAAGTTGTTTTCCCAGTTATGAACGCAGCAGTTTTCCTGCCACACGAGCACACCTCTTTCCTGATTCGGCATTTCGCTAAATTATAATGTAATAAACTAACCATAAAGTTAGTCATAAAGAGTAACGAAAAACCACTGCCTTGCTCTATCAGCTTGCTCCTATTGCAAAAGTGTTCCTTCGGCAATGTCTTCAGAAACTGTGGAAGCACTGCTGTACCCTCTGCTGACCTTTTTTTTTTTTTTTACACACATTTAGAGGTAGTGCTAAATGTGAAATGTGATTGACTTAATACGTTGAGCAGCAGCCAATATTAAAGACAACCAGAAGCCTCCCTGTTTCAGTGAATTTTGGGCCTTCTTTGTTTCAATGATGGGTCATGAAATACTCTTCAGTATTGTTGTGATTACCTCAACAAAACATGTCGTATCCACAACAGACTCCAGCACATGTTCATTCACAAAACATAGGGGAAGCAAAGTCTTGAAAGGGTATTAGTTATTTACCGTATTCCAGATGCAAAATGAAACATTATATGAGCATAGCAAGATATGGGCACACATTTACAGATACAAAGACAGCCTGTGTGAAGAAAAAAGAAAAACTCGTTCAATATACCGAGGCCTTCTTCGCCCACAATGCACTTGAGTTACGGGGTCAAGTAGAGCCAAGGATGCATGATTGATGCACAAAGTAAGGCTGATGAGTGCATCAGCCAGCCTCTAGGTTGATACGACAGAAAAAGCACATTGTTAAGAAATAAATGGTAATATTGATAATGTAGATTTGCAAACTAATCTTTTGTTCCTTTAGATGCATATACAATTAAGCCAGTTATGGTCATTTAATTCGATTGTCAAAAATAATAACTTGTTTGGAAAGAATATCAACCTTCAGTACATTATTTCTGATGCTTTTTACTACTTAAACCACACTCCGGTCTTTTTAAAAAGGCATTACCTACTACTAGTTAATTCTTTGGGATTAATAAACATTCAAGAACTGCATGAAGTGTGGTGATACTTACTAGCTTTCCATTATCTCCCATTACAGGATCACATACTGTAAGTAGGGAAAGAAGAATATGTTAATTGCTAATAGTGATAAGACAAGCACTTTCGTAAAACGACCTTTTGTCGCCACTTACCGTACATTAACGAAGAATTTTCTTGCTTCAACTCTTGCACTATGTCGGCTACCTTGTTGAGGAAAGAATCTGAGCCAACATAACCTGAAAACAATGCGTTAAAAGCCAAATCTTAGGTTGCACTTACAGGTACAGCTACATACATATCAAGATTTCTATGCAAAATGCAGGCGTACCTGTTAATATGTGCGAGTACTTGGTTATTCTGTTTAGCTTCAGGCCATCGTAAAGGTCTTGAAGCTCTTCAGCATTCAGTACTTGTCCTTTGCAAAACGGATATCCTGGAATATGTTACATGAAAAAGAAAAAAAGTTCACAGCTCTGTTGAACCGTACCGCCTAGCAGTTCTCACGGTACACACGTTATACCATCCTTGTACGACCAGTACAAATTTCAAGAAGAATTCGGGCGATTTTTCTGTCTAAACGGTTTGTGAGATAAGGCGCGCAAGGCGGACAGGCGCATCCGTTTCCACAAAGTGTGGCGCCAAATTATTTTTGTAAAAAATGTAGCTGACTCACCGGTGTGGTTGGTGAATTGTACAGAGTTGATGAAGTCCACTTCGAAGCCTAGAGTCTGTCGCGCGGAAGAATTCGAATGCTATTACGATCATTTCTCAGGCCGGGTGCTTTAAGCACTGCGATCAACACCGCGACGCGATGATTTGCAAAAGCACGTATCGCACTTGACGACATTAACGACCCGGAACTAACCTGAAGAGGGAAGCAGGCGCTCTTGTTGCCGACGTATCCCGAAACCACATGGCTTTGTATGGACAGCACACGGTAGTCGCGAGCCATCGGTGCGGAGGCAGCCTCGTCAATTCACGGCCGGTAGTTTGTACAGACTGCTCGCCGGTGCCTCGTGGAAGGGCCGCTCGACCCGATAGCAACGAGGCGCTAAGCGGAGCACGGGAAGGCACGTGACGACGGCAATGAAATAAGGTGTAAAACAGCCCCGCGCCTTCGGCAGCTGCGGCGAGCGCACAGCGAAGCCGCAATAACCGTAGAAACGAAACCAACAACAACGCTAGACTGGATCCGCTCGACTTGGCTAAGTTACCAAACCCCACGGTGGCCACGACATAATTTTGTTAAAAAGCAGAAACAAAAAAAAGCATACCTTCCAAAATTTGTTGTTAAATAACGCACTTTATTTTAAAAAAGTATTTGTCTTTGTACTTAAAAAACTTAAAAGCGAAAAAGTTCATAACTTTTGCTTGCAACGCTTTGTGGCAAACTTCATGGTGCAACGAAACTACGGCTAGAATGGTGTCAACCGGCTATATGACCCTGCTTGTCGGCTGCTGCAGTGCACGTAAACGTGTAGGCAGCGGTTTTGCGCAAGATGTGCACGAATTAATCGTCCCAAATTAATCGCGACTTGTCCGAATCGTCATCACGATGAAATATAAGCACAAATGCGTCGCTTTCGTTGCCGGACAGCGTCGAGCGGAACCACGCTGTGTTGTACAGTTCGTTCGTTCAAAGCGCTATTGAATGAAAGGTCACTGTGGCGGCCGTCTTTGCTTCGAGCTGCGCATATGCGTTTGAAATGGACTTGCGTGCCGCGTGCGCCGTTGAAACTATACGTTCTGGCTCTAGCGGAAGCTGACAGCCAGCTATAATCTGTTGATCTTGTATATCATACGCATTAAGTCATAAAACGGCGATATGATAGCAATTACAGCCGGATCGCTGTCAACCTTGAAAGCCTTCCACCTGCGACATGTCGCTAGAGCTTGGCGCGGTGGTAGGCATTTTTTTGAGCCGGTACGGCTGGTCACAACTGTGAGAGGTAAGAAACTGAACAAACGCTACAACACAAATGTATTAGGAGTGATGCGTCATACATAAACCCTTTGAATTTTTGACGCGCGCAGATGAAACCGCCAGCGACGATGTGCTGTCCATCTATTACCGGCTACTCGGTCAGGGAGAGCTACTTCCCGATGAAAATCAGCTGAAGATCGCCCAGCTGCTGAAGGAACTTCAGAACAAAGTTGCAGGTTATACGCCGCACACCCCAGGCATGTTTGAAAAGGTAAATTAATTACATTGCTCCAGGATGTTCGACCGTATAAGTAAAATTGATTTTTACAGTGGTTCTACAGGGCAAAAAAGCCTGCTGACAAGCCACAGGGATTGTATATATATGGTGCAGTGGGTAAGTTTTACGGCATTCCTGAATTTCACCAAATAAGTGCAATCGTCACACAAAATGTAGAACTACATCCAACTATATGCGTAGCAATCGGATACATGCGCATGTCAAGCACACATATGCCTAGCACGATGCCAATCGCTAAAATCCGCGAATACGAGAAGTCATTTTCTTTATGCAAACATAATTTTGTCTGTGAATTAAGTATATTTTCGCATTTATCTTTCACTCAAGGTCGAGGCAAGACAATGTTGATGGACATGTTCTACGAGTCCACAAAGGTGGAGAGCAAGCAACGAGTGCACTTCCATTCATTCATGCTGGACGTTCACAACCGTACGTTCGTTCTCTTTTGCGTAGCGCTGCAATTACTCTGAATGATACAAAATTAACTATTGTGATGATAATTGTTGGAATTTAATGTATCTGAACCACTAAATAATTATGGGGACATTGTAGTCAAACAAGAAATTAAAGACGTTAATAATTATGATAAGACTGCATTAGATAAAGAATACCAACTTGCCCACTTATCAGAAGACAAAGTTAAACTGAGCGTTTTCATCTGCAGTGCATCTCATGCTTTCGTAAAGAACGCATTGTTTATGCACACTACCTTCACTTGTTCATGGTGGACAAAAATCTAGATAGTGCAGTAAATGCTCCACTGCATCCTTGGTCGAGAAAGAACGTCAAAAGGTGCGCTTCTCTCTTTTTGTAAGGTGCACTTTATAATCGTAAAACAACAAGCCTGTCACGGATCCTTATCAGATAGCTATGAAAAGCACTTCTTTGACGAGATATCTCTCATTTAACAGCCTTTTCATCAGCTCGCCGTTTGAGACCCTTATCTTGCCTTGGCAGGCATCCACAGCTGGAAGCAAGAGTCGGCCCAGTCTGGCCGAGGTCGCAAGTCCCCTCAGTATGACCCAATTCCACCTGTTGCGGAAGCAATCTGTGGCCGAGCCTGGCTGTTGTGCTTGGACGAATTCCAAGTGACCGACATCGGTGATGCAATGATCCTCAAGCGCCTGTTCAGTCACCTTTTCAACCTGGGCGCTGTGGTTGTAGCCACGTCAAACCGTAAACCTGATGGTATGTGAGACCCTCGTAGCAAGATACACAATTCAGACCAACGACACCTCATTGGGCTTAATGAAATTTTTGGGTACCAAGGCTAGGTGAAGCTTGAAGAAACACTAAAGCATTATAAGATAACTTTTGATTCTCTTTTCACTTACATGATAGGAAAACACTGAAATTAAAGGCAGAAACTTGCATTCTTTACACATGTGCAAAACTGCAGTGCCGTTACTTTAGGGTAGGCAACAGATATCAAGATACTTTAGTGGAACAGGACCATTTCTGGATCGAGAATATTTTTAAGCTCCCTATATTTGAGCCTTTAGTGTTCCAGAATTCTTTTCTCATTGTTGAAAATATTAAGTACATGTCATAATTCATGTTAGACGGCTAATGATGCGAAAGTGTTATGCTAGATGGCTACCCATCTTCTTTTTTCTTACCGTCCTCACTGGCATTCAGACTATCTGCACATGGTATAACTAAAAAATTTTTCTCAACTTCCAGAAATGCAATTTATAAATCTAGCCAGGACAAGTGCGTCCCTAGCCCATTAGGACCTGATGAACTTTTAGATACATATAGAAATATCTTTCAAATTTATAAGCTTGCTATCATGTTTTTTCGCATATAGCAGTAGTGAATATTCAGCCACACTTCCTTAGCTTTTCCACTAGAAGTTTTGTCCTGCCCCCATACACTCTTGGCGACCGTGCATCAACTCTGTTCTCGCGACAAGAGAATGAGTCTCATTGGTGGCTGAGATTGGCACAATATTTTGTCGTAGTGTTAGCAGGCATCATTGTCAAAAAATTATGGCCGACCTTGTTGATACGTGCCCTTCAGTCTCATTCTCTATTCTCTGTGCAGATCTGTACAAGAACGGCTTGCAGCGCAGCAACTTTGTGCCTTTCATTGATGTCTTGAAGGTATACAGATTCAGAGCTTTTCAAACTTCTTTAATTAAACATAAGCACTATTGTTTTTTTTAATTGCATTCCCTGCAGAAAAACTGCTTGCCAGTGGCACTCGACTCTGGTGTTGACTACAGGATCCAGAAAGGTGCCACCAAGACCAGTTTCTATTTTGTGTAAGTGAAGTTGCAATCATTTTGTCTATTTAAGAAAATTCAGGCTCTACAATGCTGGTAAGTTAAATGTCCTTCATCCATGGCAAGTTAAATGTCCTTCATCATCATACTAAAAATATGAGGATGAAGCAAGTGGTCACATGAGCATCTGCAAGTGGCAACATTTTAGCACCTTCTCAAGGTACTGAAGGTGTAAACTATAAATACATTTAGCTTAAAACTTGAGAAAGATGGACATAGGATGTAACTGTCATTCGTGCATGTATTCTTTCCCCTAGATATGTATGTTGCATCCTGTTTCGAATAAAACAGTCTTGTATTAACACATCGGTATGTTTGCTTGCTTCTTCATCCTGTTTTCTCACATTTATTTTGCTTATATCTTGTACTTTTAATGTGGCCAGAAACAAAAGAGACCACAGTAAACATGTAGTAGTGGTCAAGAGAACCCACATGTTCATTTTGAGCAGTCATACTGCTATGATATTCCACTTTACAAACTTTTCAGCAAATTTTATTGCGAATTAAAGCTGCCATCACCGCTTCAATGTTAGTGAGGTTTCAGGTGCTTTTATTAACAGTAGACAAATCTACGCTGTTTTCTATTAATGAATAGTGGGTTAATTCTAGCACTTCATATAACTTACAAGCTCAAATCCAGCACCTACTTAGAAAGTGAAAGCCTACCTGTTCAATAATTATTATGCATTCATAAAATGCCACGAGCAGGGATAAGTTGGATGCAAATATACATACAAGGAAATGTGATCAATAAAAAAAATTTGCCCCATATCTGCATGTTGAACTGCAAATGCCATCGAAAGACGGTAATCTTCCATCTGGAGAAAGTGAATAAAACATTTGATGTTTTGCACTAGAAAATTGGCGGTGCTGCATGAGACATGAGCGCTATCTTGCAATAATCCCAGAAAATGAAAGAATGGCCTCAGTTATAGTGAGTGCGCAGCGTGCGCACGCTATCTCTGAGGCCATATTTTGTATATTTGGTATATGGCAGCACCGTATCGTCTCGGCAAAGTATAGGAAACTCGCCTTTTCGTGCATAGCGTCTCATTTTCAGCGCGGCATGACAAACGCTGCAGTTCTTAGAATTGTTTATGTATGCCTTTTCTAGTATAAACAAACACGCCATAGAACATTGACTTGTTGCTATTGTGCCTCACATATGCGCAATATTTGCTTTTTAATCGACAATTGCACAAGTATGAACGCAGAAACCAAAGCAATATTGGTGGGCACTGCGAATGTAGTTGAACTTGAGCCGTTTCGGTGGACACACAGACAAGTCGGCCGAGAGACCGAAATTTTTACATTGAAGTATCCCAAGAAAGACCTTAAAACAAGCAGTGTTGTTTCATAACAGGCTGTAATAGGTGGCACAAAATTTCACTTATTATATGCCTGTCACACGAAAAATCTACTGTAATTTATAGCCGTTTGTAATGTCATTTGTTTGCTGGCGCACGGGGAAACTAATGTCATTTGATGAAAATGACATTTTTCGTCAGATGAGTATCCGGAACACATTCACATTCGATTTTGGACTGAATGAGTAGTCTCAACACCAGGGACACTTAGAGAGATGGCTGGTTATTTTTGTATATGTAACTTTTATAATTTGTGAATGTCTATTCGTTACTAGATTTGTGCTCTGTTGACTGATACTGATAGTCAGATTACACGTGTTGTGGTGATGTGGTGACCAATGTGATGACTGCATGAAATCACTGCCGCCATCTCATTTTTGCAGCCGGGAAGTCAGTCGTGCACCCTGCTTCAGTTCACTGTACTCATGCCCAGTCATATATCGTCGGCCATGTTGGTTTTCAAGTGTGTCGTGCAGCTGTGGCAAGTTGTGTAAAATGACTACATTTATGTTCTAGGGGCAATTTTCACTCATAAAAATTACTTTTGTGGGTACATGCATGTTACATGCAAACTTTAATATACATTTATTTCTCCCAAAGCCGTGGGTTAAGAGCCCTAAGATCATGGTCATCATTTCAAAATGACATTTGTTTTTGTCGTGTGATAGCACGCAGGCAAAATGACATTAGGTCCGTTATTAGTTCTCAATTACATTGGATTTGTCATCTGACAGGGGTATTGCTCAATGCAAAACAAATGAATCATTCCATACAAAATACTTGGATGGCTCATCTGAAACCTTTCTGTGTAAACTGAGACCACACTCTGTCATGAGTTGAGGCTGTGGTTAGGTCTGCTCATGGACGTTCTGTTGCCAACTTTTCATGATATTATTGTTTTGCAGGAAGTCCGAGAGTGATGCAGACAAGGAGCTGGACAGGCTGTTCAAGGTTCTGGCCAGCCAAGAGAACGACAGTGAGTGAACATGTATTGCATCAGAAGTCAGGGATAGAAGTGCAGTGCATGCACTATTACACTGCATGTAACCTGCAAGCAGTTATGGGCATGTTACCATCAAAAAGTAACAGCGTTATATTTTAACTTACCTGGAGCAGGAAGGTAACCCTGCTATAATTGAATTTACTGCTTGTAGCAATGTAACTATTACAGCCGCAGTTGGTGTTGTTGTAATTTCCCATTTGCTTATACTCAAATAAAAAAAACTAAAAGTTAGTTCGAAATGTAACTGGCTATCATTGACATGCTATTGGCAACTGGTTATCGCCCAAGACAACCTGCACCTCAGAATTGTCTTTTTTTTTATTAAACATACATTTATACACCAGGAGCATAACCTAAGCCAAAAAGATATGTATATCTGATCTTACTGATTGTGCCAACTTACACAGCTGTAACCTTAATAATTGTGGTTTCCATGAAATGTCACAGTTTTCAAGTATTTGTGTTTAAAAGTGTTTCTGGCATAAATTGGAAATCCAATTGCTGCAGCTCCCAGATGTCAGTGGTTCACTTTAGACCCTGCAAACTGATGCATTGTGTGCCAAATAGAAATGCCCTGTTGTAGTGCTTCTATATAAGTCAAGGCAGAAGCTCTTTTTAATGGCCCGTAAATAGGAATAAGACTGTTTGGCTCTCCGCATTGAAAGACACATGGAAGATGATGGGAAATGTGTACGTATTGACAGAAAGGCATCCCTTTGTGTCTCGCAGTTATTCGACCGCGTGTCCTCACCATCAAGGGACGCAATGTTGAGTTCCACAAGACATGCGGCCGCATTTTGGATGCTTCATTCTCAGAATTGTGCGATCGGGTGAGTAGGACGGAACATCATTAAAATTCATGTTTTAGCAAAAACAAAGATTTTCAACATGATAAACGCTAGCTTTCAACTACGAAATACAAGTGAAGGTCTCATATGTGTGTCTGTTTTTACAAGAGCAAACATGAACCTCAACAGATAGAAGTTAGCCCAGCCTATTACCTATGCAGAACGATGTCTCATTTTACAAATTTAGTGACACCACAAAGAATAGCAAAGAAAGTGACAACCCAACTAAGCAGCATACTCGGTTTATATCGGGCAAGTGTACCTGCACTGTAGGTACGTCGTGTCAGTGTTGTAGCATGGCAGTTAGGCCATCTCAATCATCATGGCATAGCACACTCGACACCAAGAGTGATGTGTTACGTCATAAATGTTAAATTGTGTACAGATTTTTGCTGCACCATAGGACTGTACAGCCATTCACATTATTAATCAATTGTGCCAAAGATGTGACGTCTTTCAAGGCAGCTGTCACCAGTCTCCTAAGGCAATGAATGCCACTTTGCCATTGCATTAGGCTTGCATCTAGACCCTAGTTCAGTTATCCAATATATTTGCCCTGCATTTTAGATCTGAAATTTTTTGCATTTATGTCCACCAAACTCTCACGTAATGCCCATATGGGGCCCGAGGATATTTAAGTTATATTTAAAAAAATGTTGCTCAAATAATAATGAAAAAACACACTTTCACAATTATGTCAGCATTACGTTACAGTCAAGCAACTAATTGTGCTTAAATATTATGCTTAAATGAGTCTTGCACTTGATTTTTGCTGTGCAGCACAGTTTTATTAAAATGACATAACTGCTGGGGTGACACATACTGCTCTTGACTCATGCAGGCAGTTGGTGCTGTTGATTATCTGGCACTGAGCCAGATATTTCACACTATACTGATCCGAGATGTGCCCGTGCTGACCTTACGCGAGAAGACGCAGGCACGCCGATTCATCACCCTGGTGGACACCCTGTACGACAACAGAGTCCGACTAGTCCTGTCGGCAGATGCTCCGCCAGACAAGCTCTTCCAGGCGGTCAAAAGCGACGACAGCCTGACCGACGAGAACCGTTCGCTCATGGACGACTTACAAATTAGTGACAAGGTAGGTTGGTTGTTTCATGCCATTTTTACATTTTCGGGGAAGTTTGGAAGCTGCCACAACCTATTCACGTTACTGAAACATTTCAGGAAGGTCGACCTGTAAGTACAAATGCCGATAAAAGAAACCGTTTGTTTCTGGCATCACCACATCAGTGCAGTAAACTTGCTTCTAGTCTGTTGAATGGGGTTCCCTCCCCTAAAATGCCTAAGTTTTGCAAGTGTCAATGCTACAACAGCTCTTACTCCTGCTGTGTGCCTTTGTCTGGCACTTTAGGAACCTCTCAAATAACTTCTACATATCTGAACATCCATATTGTGTGTGTGTGTGTGTGTGTGTGGAAAATGCCATATAATGTGATCAATAAAATTTAATGCATTATCTTTGCCTCAAGCACAAATTCACTGTTTTGAATAATGCAGCAATTGCAGTATTGCCGTCTAGTACAGTTTTAAAACATTAAAGTTACTCAAACAAGAAGTGCAGTTTCATGTAGTACACACTGTGGATTTGTCTTTATAATAATATACAGTAGATGGAATCTGAAGAGGCCAGGAAATATTGTTTTGTTTAACTGGAATTTCATTCACTGAGAGATGAACAGGCGCATAGAATTCAAGTACCAAACTAATAGTATTACAGAAAATTCTTCCATTCAAGCAGCAACTCTATTTTGTTTTCGTTAACTGAGAATCCATGTACCTCAAAGTCAAGTATTACTGAACAACTGATTGTGTCCGTTCACTCGTGTTGCAGGATGTGAGCATCTTCAGCGGCGAAGAGGAAATGTTTGCCTTTGAACGGACAGTGTCGCGGCTCAACGAGATGCAGAGTGAAAATTACTGGGCGCAGGCGAGCAAGGATGTTTATTAGGGCCTCACTGCTGCTGGGTGCTGCGGGCAATCTGTTCCTTGAGCACCATGATGCTCTGTCGCTGGTCCGGCGGCAGCAATGCGATCTGCTGGTCTGAAAGCTGCAGGACCTGCACACGGAATGACGAAAGTCATCACCAAATATCGTGCGACAACCCGCTGCTTTGCTGCATTTTAGTGCCTCAATCAAGTGTCAAAAGAGCTAGTTTGTATCTCATAGATACAATGCAGTGTGAGCCCTCGATGTGGCATATTCTACTTCTCTGCACATCTATAGCATCGAAGTCGGTATTTTTCGCCTAAAGCAAGAACATGCTACCCTTATCGCGATGAAAGCTGCAGTTGCTATGCTTAATATAGACAGAAAAGTGAGGTTTTCCAACACATACAGACATTATTTTGTCAGTAGAATGATTTGCAATGCTAAAGTAATGACAAGGTTTCATAAATGATAAGGCATTATGAATCCATTGACAGCAATAGTATAACGTTGATATGCCTGATCACATAGGAAAACGAAAGTTTTTTTTTTAATTAATAAAACAGATTTTTGTCAGCAATGATGTAACAAAGATTAAAAACTATTGACTCACTATACGTAATGTTTTAGGGCTGTGACAGTCCTAATACTCTGTAAACAAGAAGTTGATGTCTATTGAAACGCAGCAAAATGTCATATAGTACTGTTTTGTTGGTGCCCTGTTTATTGACTCTACCGGCAATTACATTTTGCACACTGTTATTACAGCATTTTATGTTACAAGACACGAATAAGAGCCTCTCACTCACTAGCCATAACATGTTAGCAACAAACTGCATAGATACATAGCACAGGATTATTTACCCAATATGTGAGCAGGTCTGGGCTAGATGTTAAAGGGCAACTGCAACGAAATTTGACTTGGGCAAAAGTGGCTCAGAATGTGTAGCATATATTGGCTAAGCAATGATAATGGCAATGCTTGGAATCTCATGTTTTCTTTATAACCGGTGCTGTTCGGCTATCAGAGGAAGCGGACCTCTAGCGTTGTGCCCAGACAAATCGGACACAAACGCAAATGACGTCAATTGCACCTCACCACCGCTCGTGAGCAGAACTCCCTGCAGCCACATCCGTTCTTTCGCTGCGTGATGCCCCTCTACGAGGGGGTAATTCAGAGAAGTTAACTATTTCGCAGTACAAAATGTGGGGCCGTAGGCCGCTGTAACATATGTTACGGCTTGAACCAGCTTTCACGCTTTCCCAAAAAAGTGTGAAGCTGTAAAAGTATCCAAGTTACCGGAGTGAGACGAAAGGAATGGGAAGTAACAAAGAGTGGGGTGCTTTCTTTACGTGGCGCACTTCGAAGATGGCGAATATAAACACGACTGGTTTCTCCCGCCCAAATACTGGTGAAACTGAAAAGAATGTTGAATTCTGACTAGGTGCCTTCACTATTCAGCCAGAAGCCTCGACCGGAGCCTGGAGGAGCACTTACAACATGTATTTGTATTGTATACTAGCTTTAGTAAAGCGTAAAATGCTTATGTTAGCGTGTTTCGCTAAGTTGTGGCATAATGCCATTCCAAAAAACAAAACCGGTAAAACAATTCCCCGCAGAGTGCTAGAATGGCTATGCCATTTATGATTGTGGAACCAAAGCTCCAAAAGTTGATCGGCTGATTTCTAGTTGCGAGTAGTCAAAGCAGCAAAATTGAAAGTCTGCACCAATGGGAGCGCGCTCCAGACTGACGTTATGAGCTGGACGACCAGTGACCCCACCTCCAGAGAACATTCATTGCCAAGAATTGGCATTTTTTTAGTGTGTTTTATGGCACATCAATACTTAATATGGTTATTTTTCTTCGCATTTATTTTTCATGCGTTTAATTGTTTGTGTTGGTTACCGCCGATGACTGTGTTTACAAATCAACATGGCAGCCCCCATGCAGAAGTGACTGCCCGTTTCGATCCGGCTCTTCCTACACGCCTACTGTGCCGACAGCAGTAAACAAATGGTGAAATCAGCCATCGATTTGTTTCATTTCACTTTGTGAATAAGGCACCGGGTATGTTTTATCAACATTAGCGAGATATGCTGCTTGCTTAGCCGCACCTGCCAAGCCTAACGAGCCGAAGCAGTGTTCGGACTACGTCGTCAGACCAAGAACGCAGCATCTCCAAACATCAGACATGCGACCTCACATAGCATTCCGTGTGCGTCGGATCCTCCTTCGGTGGACGGAGAAACAGACAGACGAGAGCCACGAACAGCGTCGGAAAGAAACAGCCACAAAGTAAGGTTATCCGCCGGCGTGAGATTCTACCGATCTTCAGCAGAGCAACAAATTCACGCTTCAAGTTCTCGGTGTAGTTGCTTATAGCTTTACTGCATCTTTAAGCTAATTAACTAGCCATAATAACTAAAATTCATCGAGCAGATGCCGTTAGTACGATGAGCAGACGGCACGTCACGAATACATGTGGATGGTCTAAGCGCCCTTTCTATTGGCTGAGGGGCCTGTAGCTTCTGCAGTGCTGAAGGGAACTTCTGAAACGGAGTATAGCTGCCGTGCTTCGGATGCTGGGCGGAGCCTCTCCAGACTTCCAAAAGTTGTATCAGACTATAGACCTTTTTTAACAGAGAGGAGGATCCCCTCCTTTCTGGGCTGTTGCATGGGAGCACAAAGGCCGACGTCACAGCAGTGCATTTTTGTGCAGTCACACATGTTAACAACAGCCGAGAGAGGACTATGGCGGAACGCAGGGAGCCTTAACTTTTTTCAGTGAAAAGGTCTACAGCTTCATGTGACTTGAAGTTGTGCTGTACTCGCACTATAAAACGCGACAGGGAAGTAGACCACCCAAAAAGCAAAATGTCTCAAAATTGAATAATCACACAATTATGTGTGCTATCACTAAAAATGGCATGAACGCCAGCTTAAACATTGGAGCCAAAACCACAATAATAATTGTTAGGGTTTTTATATCCCAAAACGATATAATCACGAGAGATGCTGTAGGGGAGGGCTCTGGAAATTTCGATCACCTGGTGTTCTTTGACATGCACCTAAATATAAGTACAGTAGACTCAATTACATGAAACTTAAAGGGACCACAGAAACAAGTTCCATTAAATAGAAGTACTATATACTGAGAAATGAACAAGGGCCCAAAATACAAGTATGAAACCAATCTTGTCAGAAGCACTTTTTCCAATCAATCAATCAATTAATCATTTTATTTTCCACTTCAGCAAGTAGAGGGCATGGGAAGAAAAAGCTCCTGCGAGCGTGACTAGGCTTCCCAGCTTAATACAGTTCAGCAAGCAGTGATAGCATACAGAAACTGGCGTACACAAATAAAAGCACAAAAAAAGCATACGTTATTCTTATGCATAGTCACCAAAAAAACACTGCACGTACATGCAATTCAAGAAAAAAGGAGTACAACATAAAAAAAAAAGCTCTAAACTGACATTTCAGTTATCTCACCGAGAAGGCATGCAGCACAGGCCTTGAATATCAAATACAAAAAGCATTTAGCGATAAAAGGCTTAATACAGCAGGCAAAGTTATTCGTAACATCTGGGCCCCGTAGTTTGTGCATGGTGTTCTTGTTTCAAACTTTTTCATGAACCATAAGGGATACAAAGAAAAATATTCAGCTAACTCTGCTAAATTGGCCGGCATTGAAATATTGTTCTTTATTTCATAGTGATAGCGAAAAACAAGGCACAAGTTGTAAGTTATAAAAGCCGTTGGGATATCAGCTGCTTGAAAGAGTTTTGCGGGTGTGCGGAGGGATGATCTGATTGATATGTAAGGTTTGACGCCCCAAAACCACCATATGATTACGAGAGACGCCGTAGTGAAGGTCTCCGGAAATTTCGACCACCTGGGGTTCTTTAACATGCACCCAAATATGAGAACACGGGCCTACAGCATTTTAGCCCCTATCGAAAATTCAGCCGCCGCAGCAGAGATTTGATCCCGCGACCTGCGAGCCAGCAGCCGAGTACCTTATTCACTAGACCACTGCGGCAGGGCTGCGGAAGAATGATCTCTGGCTAAGTTGTACATGATGCATAATGCCTTTTTCTGTAGATTGTGGAGCCTTTTTAAGGCTGTATGCGTGCCAGTGCCCCATACAAGTTGACAATATGTAATGCACTTGTGACATAAACAATGATTTGAAGGGCAACAACTTGATATCAGTTGGAAGAAAGTACTGTATGTACTCGATTCTACCGCGCCCTCGATTGTAACGCGCACCCAAAAAACAATAAAACGTAAGACATCGATTGCAAGGCGCACCCATTTTTCTCGCTGGCCCGCACGATCACACCACACTTTCGGGAGCGTTTTCCATTTAAATATGAGGCACGGGCGAAGCTTGTGCCCATCTGCATGTAACAGAGCATTGCCGTCACTGTAGTTTTACCGTGGACCGATGTCAGCACGCGAACTTGCTTCGCCCCCTTCTCGACGGTTGTGGTGCCAGGCATGTCGAAGTAAAGAGGCGTCTGATCGGCATTCCCGATTTGCCCAAGCAAGGTAGCCGTTGTTGCGCCGCAAGTTTAGGACGAACCTCCGAAAACTGTGAAGCTTTTCATCGTACTCCTCCGCAAAACTTTTCGCATATGCATGTTCCCCTTCGGAGGGAAAAGCCTTTCCTCTTCATAAAGCTAGTTAGCCAGCACCTGCTCGCTTTAAACTGGCTCTGCATTAGACCTTTTTCTAAGACTAATTGCATAGCCCGCACTTGGAGCAGTTCTGACGTCACGGGCCGCTCGCTGCTCAAGCACATACTCGCCGAGCAGCTCTTTAATTTGCAGAAACCGACCCTGCTGTGGTCCACTGAAGCCTTTGCGTGAAGCTTTGCTGTTGACAATCTTCTGCTTTTGTTTCCGCCAGTCCCGCACGCACGTTTCGGGAACTCCGAACGACCGCGATGCGGCCCGATTTCCGTCCGTTTCTGCACATGCGATGACTTTTCTTTTAAAAGCGGCATCGTGGTGCACTCAAGTTTTTGGAGTCGGCCCTTCCATGCCGTCGATGCTAATGCACTACAAGATGACGAACTCCTCAGCACACGTACGAAGTGCCGCACATGGGAAACACATAGGCAGAAATGGCTGACGCGCCATGCCGACGCACGTAGGGTGCGGCCATTTTGGAAATGTCGATGGCAATAGAATGACCAGTATTCATTTTTTTTTTCGTACTCTATTCTAACGCGCATGCGATTTATGACCTCGCTTAACCAGAAAAAAAGGTGCACATTAGATTCGAGTAATTACGGTAACTACTGCGGTATAAAATACGAACAAAAAGTGAGACAGCTAAATACACGTGATTAATATGCACATCCCATAGGAGCTTTTTTGTGAACCAAACAGCAAGAGTTTTAAATGCCTGTACAATTTTTGTATTTTTTTAGCCACAAGTCAGAGACTCACAAGATGACACAGTTCTACCACTAGGGCAGAAAATGACCATTTTTGTCTTCTAGCGCATTTAATTTCGACCAGCCTTCACGGGCAACTAGCATTTTATTAGCCTTTCTTATCAATTCATCAGGATTTTTATAGCTGAAAAAAACGCTGGTGTCATCGGCATATATAACGTAGAATGAGTTATCAATCATGAATACTGATGATGTCATTAATGCATAAATTAAACAGGAACGGCCCCAGTATACTTCCCTGTGGACACACCTGAGTTAAGACCTAGCATTTCTGACGAGTGCCCGTTTACTTAAACGTACTGACATCGATGC